TGCTTTTTTTTTTGGTAAAATGTGGCTTATGTAAATTTATGATGATAAGTACAATATTTTAAAGATGAGATTCTCACATACAAACGTCTACTTCTAGCTATTTTAAATTCTAAATGCATGTCTTCGATTCTGACACCAGTTCCCAAGTGTGTTTTTCCCCACACCACCAAGCCATTAACCCAATTCTGACACCATCCCCCGGGAGCTAGTGTCAGACCCCACAGGTTAAGGGCTCTGTCCCCCAAGACTGCCACCCCCCCCACACTTCAGATGCCAAGTGCAGTCCAGGTTGCCACCTGTGCTTCTGGTCAATCAGCTAGAGATAGGAGGTTCTAATAACACCCTCCTTCAGTGCGATTGCTTTGCCAGAATGGCTCACAGAACTCTAACACTTTACTTCCTAGATCACTGCTTTATTATAAAAGGATATTGCTCAGGAACGCCTGATGGAAGACATACACAGGGCAAGGTAGGTGGGAAGGGGTATGGAGATTCCATGCTCTCTGCGTGCACTACTCTCCCCGAATCCCCATGTGCCCTCCAATCTGGAAGCTCCTTGAATCCCAGTCTTTGGGGTTTTACGGGGGCTTCTTTACATGGGCATGAGTGACTACATCATGGGTCATTGGTAATTAGTTCAGCATCCCCCTCCCCTTTTGCTCCTACCAAGTCAACGCAATGGAACTAAAAGTCCAATCCTCTCATCACAGGGTTGGTTCTACTGGCCATCCTTAGATACCTAGAGGCATTCTGAAGTCATCTCATTGAGTCAAGCAAAGACACCTCTATTGCTCTTTCCACTTAGGAAATTCCAAGGGTTTTAGGAGCTCCACGCAGGAATGAGATTGAAGACCAAATGTGTATTTCCTCATTGTAAACCACACTATCACAGGCCTATATGGTATGAGAATTCAATATATCATTTTGAGAAAGAGCAAAATGTCTATCAAACTTAACCTAAGTTTAGGTTTTATCATTTTTCAAAGTGATGGTAAATCCACCTTAGATGTCCATATTATTAAAAAAAAAAAAAAGGAAATATTAGTAGGGCTTAAATATAAAATACTAATTCATTAATCTGACTATATTAGTCATATTATAGACCATTTTGTTTATTAAAAAAAACATCGCCCTTATATCCGGTCTCATTATTGGGTTCTGCTACAAGTTACTGCTACACACGCTTAGGATGAACTCTAGAATCAAGCCGACTTCCTTCTGCTGCCCCAGTACTCCTAATGTGGTGGAGACCAAGGTCATCTCTGGGTTGATGAACTCAGGGGACCAGGGCCCCCTCAGGGAGGAAGCAGGCAGCCCTCTCTCATGCTGAAGGCTGCCCTTTCCTCCAGGGCCCACTTCCAATCAGCTCATCTCCCAGCTCCTCTCCGGAACCACTCCAGGGGCAGAAGAACACCATGACGCCCATGACGAGACGGTAGTGAGTTCATGACCCTGGGTTGATTGTGCTCAAAGCAAAAACAGTAACAGTCGCCACTAGCACAGCCAAACTTCTGTCCTCATCGAGGACATTATTCTCAAAATTAGTAGGGATTTCCTTTTTAAAAGCCAGGAAACTTGGATCTGCCTAATTCTCCAAGGGACAGAGCAAGCCTGAGTGTGCACCGGGAGCAGCTCACCTCCATTCCCCTCTGAGCCTGAGGTTCTCACATGCCCGGGGTTGGTTAATTCCATACAATGCGATGGTGGCGGTGGCTCCTACTAGGACAGAAGGACCACAAGCCCTCTTGCCAACTCAGAAGTGGCGCCTTTCAGCATGACCCTCCCTCTGTGCAACACCGCCATCTGGACAGGACTTTCTATAGCTCAGCATCAAGTTTTCAATCATTCGAGGAAGGACTCTGTAAGGAGGCATCCCAGCCTTTCTCCAGAGAGAGAGATCAATGAGCTGTGGAGACATGTTGGCCAGGCGCTCTTTCTCTGATCTGGATATAGAGTGTGACACGCAGGTGCCAGCCCAACTTCGATCCCTACAGGAAGGGGCACACTGGGTGATCAATGGGAGGTGGAAGACGGCCAGGCCCACGCGGGACAAGACAGAGACAAGGCTGATGGATTATTTAGAGACTGCTTAACATGACTCGGCAAGATGAAAGGACAGGTGACGTTGATGGAATAAAGTTTTCAAACTCAGAAAGACACTCAGGGCATCAGGGATCCTAAGGGTTTTGCGACAGTCTCTGACTCAGGAAACCAAAGCAAAATAAATCAAAATGGAATGAAGTTAAATAACATAAAAATGCCCAGAGTCTTCATAGAAGATAACATTCAAAAAGAGAGAGCAGACAGACCTCTGGTGTATCTACATATTAATAATGTTAGAGCTCTAACTAGAAAGCCCTAATTGCAAAAACAATGTCTTACATAATTTTAGGGAATTATATTAGGCATAATGGGATTTTCTTTTTTGGCTCTGCAATGTCTTTTTACTTTTTAAAAAAATGCAAAATCATAGCTCATAAAACTCTAAGAGCGTTAGAATTGGAAGTGATTTTATAGTAGACATATGAGAGATATCATGTACATAATATTTAAATGATGATGACAACAATGATAATAACTTAAAGGTCATTTTATTTTATTTATTTTATAATAGATTTTTATTGATTTCAGAGAGAAAGGGAGAAGGATAGAGAGAGAGAAGCATCAATAATGAGAGAGAATCTTTGATTGGCTGCCTCCTGCACACCCCACACTAAGAATCAAGCCCACAACCTGGGCATGTGCCCTGACCTGGAATTGAACCATGACCTCCTGGTTCATAGGTCAATGCTCAACCACTTAGCCACACCGGCCGGGCTAAAGATCCTTTTAAGGAGAAACAAATTGTAAGCAGTAGTTTTCCACATAAACCAAAGAACCCAAGCTACGAGATACTAATTTGCCCTGATGGTGGTCCATTCTTGGCTCCCTCTACACACCCCCACCCTCCACTACACATACATACTCAGCACATGCTCTCACAAGTTGATTCCTTTTAAAATTGAGTTTGATGCCTTATCACAGTCGCTTTTAAATCTTAACCAGACTTCAGGGGGCAAAACCAAGTGAGCTAATTGTTCTTTGTCAAATACAATGACTCCCAACATGTCTCAGTCAAATGTTTGCCATTACCTGGGATCCCAATTTTTGTTTTCAAGAAGAAATATTTCTTCTGTAAAATATATGTTTTTATTGATTTCAGAGAGGAAGGAAGAGGGAGAGAGAGGGGGAAACATCAATGATGAGAGAGAATCATGGATCGGCTGCCTCCTGCACGCCCCCGACGGGGGATCGAGCTCACAACCTGGGCATGTGCTCTTGACCAGAATCAAACCTGGGACCCTTCAGTCCACAGGTGGATGCTCTACCCACTGAGAAACACTGTCCAGGGCCCAAATTTTTAAGCGTGGAAAAAACATTTTCCATTTCTCTAAAGCTTCACTCTCACTAGTGGGAGCAGGGATGCCGTCTGGGAGTGGAGTCTCGAAGCAGAGCAGTGCTTCAGGCAATCCTTCACTTCGGTGACCAACAAATACATTGCCACATGATCATAACCCTTCTTCCTTTCTCCCCATTCTTCAGATGTATTGCTGATTGCTTTGAAAGTGGTCATTTTCTTCTACACTGACAACAACGGACTTCAATCTAAATAGACAGCTCTCTTGATGACAAATTTGGAAACGGAAATGTTAACATGACAAGAGATGCTCTCCAATTTAATGCCTCACCTTTGAAGGCCCAACATTCAAACTCTTTCCCCCTAATTACCGATTTCAGTCAGGCTGAAACCAGACTTGATTGCCATATGTTTGTGCAATTAAGTAGAGGAGCAGTTCTGCTTTCTCTAGGCTCATCAAAGACTACCTGTCTCAATGTCGAATAAACCAGCAGATTAAGTTAGACATCGCTTTAAACATAGCCCGTAGCAATGTCACAATTGATCTATTAAATGCATCCTTAGGCTGTAAGTTTTCTAAAGATGCAAAGCAAAGTCACTGTCCATGCAAGGATGTTGGAAAGTATACTACGTGGTTTTGATATTAGTGTTTGGTTTATGGTATAGATTATATTCCCTTTTTATTCTCCTACCAGGTCCAGCTATTTTGGGATGTTGTCCTGGGAGAACTAGATTTCTTTCTTGAATTAATGTTTAGCATGCCTCCATGGAATTGCATAATCGTAGTGACAGAGACTTTAGTTGAATTCTTAAGAGGAGAAGTTTCCCTTAATTCCTGAAAAGCTCTGCCTTAGGAAAGGTGATATAACTCTATAAGAATCTTGAAAGCTTTTAAAAAAAATATTGATCATGGCCCGGCTGGTGTGGCTCAGTGGTTGAGTGTCAACCTATGAACCAGGAGGTCATGGTTCGATCCCTACTAGGGGGCGTGCAGGAGGCAACCGATCCATGATTCTCTCTCATCATTGATGTTTCTATCTCTCTCCCTCTCTCTTCCTTTCTGAAATCAATACAAATCTATTTTAGGAAATACTGATCATGTGTTTCTTGGTGACATCTGGAAGAAATTTTTATACAAAGAGTGAAATTTTGACATTATCCCATGAATCGAGCACAAATAAAACAAAACCAACTATTCTTACCTTTAGTCTTTACTATCGGTCTCTTGACCTCAGTGAGTTGGTCATCTCAGCAGGGTTGCTCAACTTCTACACAGTCTGCTTTAGTGCTGTTTCCTCGCCACATAAGTTGTTTTACCAGACAGGTGTCCTGGCAAACCACCACCCTAATCATTCTCTGTAGTGTCCCAGCCTCTATGCTGACACTTTGACTCAAACTCTACGTTTTGCCAAATCTCCGCACCTCTTAGACTTGCTGCCCCGGGTGGAGGGCCATTTAATTTTTCATTCAGGCTATGAACGTTGCCAATCCTAGCGGTGTCACACCTAATAAAACACCAGTTTGAAAATGCCATCGTGCCCAAGAAACACACACACACACACACACACACACACACACACACACACACACACACAACACCTACCTCTCTTGTAGAATAAGTTTGTTCTCCTTCTTCCAAAAGTCTTTAAAGTCAGAGCTGAATTCATGCCAGATACTGAAAAAGACATTCAGGGACACCTCCTTCTCTCCAAGTTTTGGTTTCATGAAGAAATAGGCTGTGGTCTCTAAAAACCTGTCGAGGCAGATACACACACAGAGCATAAGAGCTATGATTACTTTCCAATACGGGCTGTTCTTTTCCCGTCCAAAGGCTGATTTCATTCATGCGCAGTCATTATGACCAAGAGGACACAAACTCTCCAGGCCCCAACAGGAGTTCTCTTACGGGTCCATGTTAGAGTTTTGGATGCAGACGGGAGCAACTGACAAGAACCTTCCATACACTGAGAACTCTCCCTGGTCCAATTCTATTGTCCAAATGAATCACGATGTGTCCAACCTATTTCAGAAGTGAGCCTGTGGTCTAGTTGGGACGTCTTGGGAGTGGTGGGGTACACTTTCTTTCTCCCCTCTGCCAGGGGTGGGGAACCTCTATTTTCCCAAGGGCCACTGGAGGTTTATAACATCATTCGAGGGCCATACAAAATGAGCAACCTGCTATATTTGGTCAAACATTTAATTAGTAAATCAAATGTTTGGCAGGGCCAGCCCAAATGATTTTGCGGGCCTTACATGGCCCGTGGGCCGGACATTCCCCACCCCTGCATCTAAACAAATGAAGTATCAGTCATTTTGTCCCCAAACTAATATATGTATTATATACTATTTGGCTTCTATGCTATTTGGCTCCCTGTATTGTTGGGGGAGGCGGGAAAAGAAAGAGTCCCAGGAGATGCTGACAAACTCTCCCATCAGTGAGTGGGACCCATCCGTGAGGGACAACAGACTGACTGTCTTCAGAAGGGGCCACTCAGCGGCTCTTCACAGAACAACCACATGAAGCTTAGAGGAGTTTCAAAAGGGTTATTTGACATATGGAAAGGGGCACTGGGTAGAAGTATCACTGGGTATAGATGAAACCAATGGATAACAATGGATAACTGTTGAAGTTGGATGATGTGTACACGGTGGATCTTTGCACATTCTGTGTACCTTTGCACACGTTTTAAATTTCTCATAATAAAGAATTGGTTAAATTACAAATGCACACGCACACACACATAAGGTTAGTACAAAAAAGTAATGGCTATAAGCATCTTTTAAAATGGCATTCTAAAAATATTTTTAAAAGGCTAGACTGTTGCTCGAAAGAACTCCATTGGATATTGTTTGTGACCACAAGTTATGTTCCGCAGATAATGAAAATAGTTTTGATTTTTTTATTTCCTTATTTGAAAAGCGGACATACAACAAAATGAGAATCCTATTCTCTTAAGCTTCTCATCTGTTTTTAAGGCAGCCTTTGTCTGGGAACTGTACACATAAAGAATGACTCAAAACTTGGTTTTTATTACAGCCAAGAGAGGTCCCAGTAATTATCCTAAAATAGCATTTTCTTGCCACAAGTGATGATCTGTATGGAGAAGCATGTTCTCTGCAAATGAAATATTTTTAAAATATTGTATTGCCTGTTATTACTATCAATTACTTCCCATCTGTGAACAGGATGTAGCCTTGGTCAAGCACTAGAGAGAACCTTGAATTTCAGCCCGCCATTCTGCGGGCACCTACTCTGCAGGAATAGCAGATGAGGGCACTCCTACTTTCATTTAGTTCATGAGCAGGTTTGCCAGGCACCAAAAATGGCAGGGTGAAGATAGAGAAAAATTCAACCCTGAGAATATCCTGCTAAGCGAAATAAGTCAGACAGAAAAAGTTAAGAACCATATGATTTCACTGATATATAGGATATACAACTGAAAGCAACAAATGAACATGAAATACAAACAAAAATTCACAGATACAGACAACAGCATGGTGGTTACCAAAGAGAAGGGGGTGGGGTGGGGTGGGGTACTAAAGGGTAAACAGGGGCCAATTATATGGTGAGAGAAGAAGATTTGGCTCTAGGTGTAGGCACACAATGCAATATATAGATGACATATCATAGAAATGTACTCTTGAAACCCATATAATCTTATTAATCCATGTCACCCAATGAATTTAATTTAAAAGGAACACACAGAAAAATGCAAATGCTATTCAATTACTTCCTTGAAGAGCATTTTTATTAGATTAACAAATACTAGCACAAGAGTCAAGGCACTGAACGAAGCAATTCTCCATGCTATGCCTCAGTTTACAGGCTTCTAGGCACTGACTGCTGCTCTGAGAACTGAATCACCATAAGAACAACCACTCTGCTCTCAAGCATCTACTTCAAGAATGGTAAACTCTGCCGGCTGGTGTGGCTCAGTGGCTGAGCATTGACGTATGAACCAGGAGGTCATGGTTGAATCCCTGGTCAGGGCACCTGGGTTGTGGGCGGGATCCCCGGGGGGGGGGGGGGGCATGCAGGAGGCAGCTGATCAATGATTCTCTCTCATCACTGATATTTCTCTCTCCTTCTCCCTCCCTCTCTGAAATCAATAAAAATATATATATATTTTAAAAAAGAATGTAAACTCTTCCACGACAATGTTCAAATATGTATACTTCAACAACCTGAAAGCATTGGATATTGTTTTTTACTACAAGTTACGAAACAACACAAGACAGGACTTATGGATATGTGGCAGGTTGCTCCAGAAATGATCCTGTTTTCAGAAAAAAAGAATGTACCCACTAAAGTAATCTGCGGTGAGTAACCTAAAGATGGGCTAATCTTCAGAAGCATCTGTATTATTACTTTACTTTTTATTGACTGACGTCAAAGAGACTTTCCACTCCAAGTGGAGTAATAATACCTTACCATCTTCACCCACCAGTGTCTTGCTCCCCTCAATCTGGCCTTACAGGGTCTGACATTCGCATTCTATACTTGGTCCTTCATCTGCGTGGAATACTCTTCACTCAGGCATCCACCTGGCTGCCTCCCACCCCTTCAGATCTCTGCTCACACATCACCTCCTCAGCAAGATCTAGGAAGAGCCAGAGTGAAATCGCAACATAGATTCCCTGAATATTCCTGCTTGACTTTTCCCCACGGTATTCCCTGCCACCAGAAATTCTGGCCATCTGGTCTACTTGTTTACCGTTGGCCTTCCTCTGCTATAATGAATCCTCGATGAGGTGCTTTTATCTTTTATGTTGTCTGCTGCAGTCCCAGCACCCAAACAGTGTCTGGCACAGAGGAATTGTGGGATAAATATTTGCTTAAAGAATGATTTCTACTGAACAACTACACTAGACACTTCTGGGGACAAAACGTTTGGTTTTTAGGAACACTGTAGTGGAAGAAATCTGTTAGGCCTCTTAGCAGCCTGAGGTTTCAAGACAAGAGCTTTACCTCGGAAGAGCCAAGATTTAGTTCTGTCCCTGCCCACAGCGGGCCTATGTGGACTTCATTCGCTTCAGTAAGCTTCATCTCCTCATTTCTAAAATGAGGACAAGGCTTCCTACTGATCAGATGATTGTGAGGCTTAAAGGAGATAAGTGTGTAATGTGGTTCGTGGCGTTGCCAGGCACATCAGACCCGTCAGTGATGGTTCTTACTACTGCTCACCAGTGAAGGTGGCGTGAAAGCTTCCCCTTCAGCCTTCACGGTGAGTTCACAGAGTGTGAAAGGACCGGGCACTCTTTCTTCACACAGAGAAATTAAAGAGGGCGAGTCCTTTCTCCTTTTCCCATATTCCTGCTTAATTATGAGACAGCTCAGAACCTCTATAAAAATTAAAACTGATGCCAACATGCCAGTCTCCTCGGGGCCAGCAGGCCAGCGCCAGCGTGGGTTAACCACCCTTACCCTCTCCTCCCTACTCATCTACTCCGTTATCTCACTTGGCTCCGAAGAGAGTTTACAGTGACTCCAGCCAAGAGAATTCCTCTCACTTCGCTTATGGAGAAAGAAAAACATCTCCTTTTACCCTGGCGTCATAGAAGAGGCGGACGGTAACAAAGGGCTACATCCTTTATTCTTGACTCAATGTCCCCTGACTGTTTCATACTCCATGACATGTATTGCATACACATGAACACACACACACACACACACACACACAGCTTCCTGGCACCTACTTAACAGACATATCACAGTCAACAGCGAAGCGAAGAGGTCTGCGGAAAGAGGTGAATCCATTGAATTCTACGCCCCCTTCCTCCCACCGCCAGCACAGCCGCAGTTATCAGCAAAGCGAACACCACCGCTCAGATGTGAGTTGTTGGAGGTTCTGTTGCCTCTCCCAGCTCTGGTTCAGGCCACTCTGTCATTTCTCTCTAATGCTAATGGCAACAAGCCTTGGGACTCAAGTCTCCCTCCCTGGCTCAACTGCCAAGGGCCGTGCAGGCTATTTTGAGATATTTCTATATTTGGACTGGTGGGTACAAGGAAAGGGTCTGATGAGGCCGGTTCTTATACAGATTCCATGATCCCAGGGGCCTTGCTGCAGGTCAGTCCTGCACCGGTCAGTCTAAGTGGGCCTGGGTGCCTTCCTGTTCGCTCTGCGATCATCCTTCCTTTCTTTTCAATGTCACGGTCCTTTTGGAGTTTAACAACTAAAAAATCACGTACTAAATGAGAGGGTTTTTTAAAAAAATATATTTTTATTGATTTCAGAGAGGAAGGGAGAGGGAGAGAGAAACATCAACGATGAGAGAGAATCACTGATCAGCTGCCTCTTGCATGCCCCCGACTGGGTACTGAGCCCGCAATCCAGGCCACAACCCAGGCATGTGCCCTTGGCCAGAATCAAATCTGGGACCCTTCAGTCTGCAGGCTGACGGTCTATCCACTGAGCCAAGCCAGCTAGGGCCTACATGAGAGTTTAGACACCCAGTAAGAATTACACACGTGTGAGTTAATTTAGCTCATATAGTCCGAGCCGAGGACATAAAGCATCTCACTATGAAACAAGAAGCCAAGAGAGCATAACAGTTTCAATGAACTGCCCAGGGTCATCATCATAAATCTTCCCTTGCCTGTGCCATTTTTATTGTGCAATGTTGGGTTTTGTAATATTATTCTCCAGAACAAAGTAAAGTCTCCAGAGAAAGCTCTATTTTCAGGGAAAGCCTTCCACAAATAGCTGCAATTTTGGGGGATCCTAAATCAACATCTTCACTTCTTCCTCCTTC